GGTAAAATGTTATTTTTAGCCACGAGCCCCGTTGCAAGTAGGTAACATGTTTATAAATTATTTATTTCTTTATACTTTGCTTACGAAAAATGATCAACTTATTTTGTATTTGTGGTGTATTATGATGTCTTATTATTTTTAGTAGGTATTTAACCCAGCTTCAATTGTAATTATCGACCCAGTAATGTTTTTTTTTAGTTTCCAAACAAACTGAGTAATGCTTTTCCTTCAAAAACCATCGTAAAATATTGTGTGCTATCCGAAACTGATCACTATCTTTCTATCATCCAATGACTTCTCCCGCCTGGGTGAGGCGAAAGCGTCAGACTCTTACTGAATAAAAACCACTCCGTTCCTAATTCTAGCTCGCTCCTGCATTTCGAACCGGAGCCCCGGCAACCCGTTAAACCGTCCGCGGGTTTCACCTAGTCAAGAAATACAAATTGAGAGTATTTCAGTCATGCAGAATGGAATATCACTTATTCCAGAGGAACTCGTGTCCAATCGTTTCTTTTACAATCCAACTTGAATTGTAGAAAGCTACCATAATAGTGTTGTTACGTCACAAAGCGATGGTGGGACAGTGAGGTGTGACTAACAAATTGCGACTTCGAGCCATGGACGACCCTGAACTAAGGCATATCGATAGACTTCGATTCATTTCACTACGTTCTGAATACATTATGTCACATTACAAACGACTGAAGTCACGTTTCAGATCTCATGATAAGACTCTACTATAAAACTATACATACATACGTAGCGTTGCATAATATTTATCCACTTATTAATGATCAGTCTGTGTTTGTGTTTATACCCAAATAGGAACAGTGAACAACAATGTAACACACACTTTTCACTAATATTTATGTTAGGTTACCGGGCACAGTTCCAGACTCCGTACTACTACTGAAAACTTTTTTAGAAACCCACTAATACTTTGCCCGACCCAGAAATCGAACCCGAGACCCTAACACGAAATGTAACAAACTATCAGAGTTTAAAATAATACCCAATAACCTGACACTTTTCCTGCCCCAAAGTGGTGATTATATTGCTTCGATCCTCCAATAACCGATCCACTTACCGAAATATGTAACGAAAATCTGCAATAGAGTCGTCCCAGTCTTAGATTCCATTATCCGTCTACATCTTTATTACGTAGCGAGGTTCAAGGTAAGAATACCGCGTTACCGCGTCGGTACTCGGTCTCAAACGTTACCTCTGCGATCGATAGCCGCCCGACCTCTACTCCACATCTCTAAAATTATCCGATACTACTTTTCCGTCGCCTTCGGTAAGGCTCGGCGCAAACGAACAACTTTATGTTGAAGTGAGAACTTCGTGGGTACTGTTTGTGTTTGGGATATATGGTTCAAGTCTAGGATAAGTCATTAGTTGTGTTTTTTTACGGGGAACGTAAAAAAATAAGCTACTTTTCAGCCCTTATGAGTAATATGTCTATGGTGGTCTATATCGGGATATAGATAATATTTTGTTTCCGCAAAGTTCTCCTTTTAGTTTTTGAATTTATAAGTTTAGCTAAAACTTTGGTCATATAATGTTTGTTGTTTAATTTCAAAATACTTATAGTACTCAAATAGATTCTAAGTTGTAAGGTCACAGTTGATCTTATACTATATTCATGATATTCCATTTTAAAGGACAAGTAATAAAATAATCTTGTAATAATTTCTATCTTACTTTGTTAGGTATTTTTTATTTTTAGGGGTTAAATTATCAAATTACATCAGCCGCCTTAGGTGAGGCGAGAATTAGTGTCAGACTCTTACTGACTAAAAACCACCCTGCTCCTACTTTTGCTTCGAGCTAAAGTCCTGGCAATGCGTTAAGTCTTCGGCAGCTCAAGTCTTCTGTATTCCCTCTGTCAAGTTAGGTGCAATAGTCATCGGAAAACTTACATATAAACTTAACCTCACGCCGTCCTCACACTGGGGTAGGCAGAGACTATGGAACGCCAATTGCTACGATACTTGCATACCTAAGAATGTAAGACTTTAACTTTAACAACTGTCATCAGTCTTTGATAGGAAATTATAATTATTATTATGTATTAAGATTGTTTAATTACTGTATTTCTTTAATGAACAAAATATTGGAATATGAGCTGTCCTAATAAATTGCCTGTATCCTAACAATAATACAGTTAAACTACCTACCCGTAATTTTATTTATGTTAGTAACACCTAATTAATGTCTAAACTAACGACTTTAATGACTTAGTTTCAATTAGAGCGCAAATTTTAATTACCACACTGCCTGGATACTGTTAATTTATTCCTTAATATTGCTGTGTAATTGTACCTTTTTAATTTTCATCAATAAATATAAATAATTTCCATTCGTTTTATGATTAGCCTCATAAATTATTAATTTTATGTTTTTTTTTAAAAAGCGTTGCCCCACACTAATATTATTTCCTGTGTCGTGGGTGCGTTTACAAACATACAAGTTCACATACACATGACACCCAGACCCGAAACAACAATTTGTGGATCAGACAAAGTGTTGTTCCGTGCGGGAATCGAACCCGCGACACGTTGCACGGCAGCCGGTTGCCCAGCAACCGCACCAACCGTGCAGTGCAGTTTTTATCTTAGTACCTGAGTAATGATTTTGTGCTGAAATTCTTATTTTCAACATAAATAAATAAAAACTTATTTATATTCGGTTATTGAAAATCTATTTATAAAAAGTTAAAAACTATTTATATTCATACATAGTTTTTAACTTTTTTGTTTGTTTGTTAGTCATTGAAAAATAAGTCTGTGCCTAGGGAACGTCCATTTTAAGAAACAAAAGGACAACAGTAAAATATAAAGATGAAGTAAAGTACATGAGAAAGTTTTTAGTGTCCGCAGTTTTAAGAGGTTCATTGAACTTAGCTCCCTAGGTACCCTGGCATCACTGAACACAGCACATTTGCTACTAGTAGTGAGATTTTTTGAGATTCATTCGTAAACGGTAGTTAGATGACCATTTGCTACTTACCTTCTGAATTAAACTATGATTAACATTTTTAGTTTTACAGAAAAGTGGGTAAACATTGAATTATTAAATTACTTCGTTTAAGGGCAACGGTTGTATTCTTATACATTGCTATTGTATATATATTGTATGTATTATAATATGATTACAACTAACTGTCATCTAAAATATATTTTTATAGTATTTTTAGGCACCCCAAACGCTGCACCGGTCGACGGAGTACCTATATACTGAACAAATATACCAAATCTTGAATCCGTACTGGTTATCTGACTAACCAAAGACGATAGGTCTCAGAGTACCCATCTAATTTTATGTAATGTTGTTAGGTTGCCTAAAATAGACCCGCGTGTGAGGTCTACATATGTAATTTTATCTCTCGTTTTGTTCTTGTAACAAAACGAGTGGAGTTTAGGTAATTCCTTGAAATATTAACTGAAATAGTTTGGCTCCTGCTCTCTCTTTGTTTAATGGCTATTCAACCACTTAGAGAACGTTTGCAGTGTGCACTACTTTGTTCACAGGTGTTGGAGTTTTTATGAAACTGAATTTAAATGTTAATAGTGCTACTTAGTAGTGGAATTCTTTGCCAGAATCTGTATTTTCTAAAAGGAATAACCTGCGTATCTTCAAGGCCCGAGTTAATAGGTTGCTTATGGGACGACGTGCTCCATCGTGGGCCACATCATCGCTTACCTCTAGGCGAGATAGTGGTCAAACGTCAGGCTCATCATACATATAAAAAAATATACCTACTATATTAACACGTTAAATGCCATGGCGTTCACGGGTAACCGACTTTAGCGGAGGAATTGCCTTCAATAATTTCCTATTTGTAGTCAAAGCTTTAAGGAGGTTAATTTTGAAAATGAAAGTTTAAAACAAACACTTAATTTGTGTTTCATGGCTTCGAATGGGTATTAATGATTTTCGATATTAATACTCTGTAAGTTTTTGACAGCGACCTCTAGCGTAGACGTGAAAAAACATGTTAGCAGCAATTCGTCACAATTGTCCGTTTCCACTGGGTAATGGTAGTTAATTACAATGCACGGCTTGCTATTTTCCAGGCAAACATTTGTAATTATGATGAGTACGTGATCCAATTCAGCACCTATGTGAATCGAACACAGATTGTTTTTGAGTGACAGCGTAATGAAATTATTGCGAGGCAATTACGTCACTGTACACGTTTATGTAGCTTTTGTGGAATTAAGGTTGTATGAGGAAGCGAAAGAAGGGCCGAGACGTGAGGGCGATGATAAATTAACCACGTAGTCATTGTTTTGTGGTCCTGTCCGTTGAGTAGTCAGTAGCGTGGTTATTGAATCTAAAGTCCACGATTCCAATTTAGAGAAGACGTTATTGGGATGTTAACTATAAAACTTTCAACAGTACAAGTGTGGGAGAGCCATGCAGCGGCACGAATGGGCCAGCTCGACCGGAGTGATATCACGGCCTCAAAGAAAACCGACGTAAAGCAACGCTTGCGTAGTGTTTCGTCGTGTGAGTGAGGTTACCGGAGGCCCAGCTACCCTGTCCCCTTTCCCAATCTCCCCAATCCCCGAATCCCCCACAATCCTCAAACTCCTAATCCCCAAAAGGCCGGTAACGCACGTGTAATGTTTCTAGTGTTCCAGATGTCCATGGGCGACGCCGATTGCTTACCATCAGGTAATCCGTCTGCTCGTTTAATGGCTTATGCCATAAAAAAGTACATAATTCAAGGTTGTGTCCTATATGTTGTCAATTATTTGCTCCAAATGTTGTACCTGATAACTGGGTCATAATTATCTCTGCAATAGTCAAGGGTCAGTATGTGTAGTGTTATGTTTAATGACGTCAACAAGATGTTTAATGACGAGTTCACCGACTCACACATTGAATGGACATCATTCCCTACTGACACGTGAATCGAGTTATCAACGACGAAACGATCCGACACTTCCTCGCACAACGACTCGGTCCTAAACGGAGGTGGCCTATCAAATGATAATAGCATATCATCAAACGAAGGGGCCTGGACAGCCGTGCGACGTTCTGCGCAGATAAATTTGACATTCGAAAAACAAAAACTCGAAACTTTTTGTGTGAAACGTATTCCGCGATCCGAGAGTGCATTTCGCTATAAAATATAATGGTTGATTTTTCCGTTGTTCCACGTAAAAGTGCTTTTAGAGGGAACATTACGTAATATTGTGTACGGAGTGATATGATAAGTGTAAGTGATAGAAACTGCTTGACAGTGATTCTGGGCGTATACAGTGAATTTTTAACTGATATTTCTGTGTGGGCAGTGTGTTCTAGTGGTATTGTGTAAAAAAACGGTGACAGTTTTCGGACGTTAGGAGGAAGGTAATTATATTGGGGATATTATTAATTATATTCAGATCTAAGTAAAATATATTCTAGTTTATTTGAACAACTAATAGGTACTAAATAGCATGTGGCTACATATTTCACATACAGTGCATTGCATAGATTTATAATTTCGTTGACAATAGCAAGTGATAAATATAAAATGCTAGCTTTTACCCGCGGCTTTGTCAGCACATTCCTGCTTTACTCCATGGGAGTATTTAGCGGTATAAAAATAATATCCTATCACATAAATCAGCCCATACCCTGTCCGTATACCAAATTTCATCCGGTATCCTTATAGTAGCTTCAGCGTGATTGACGGACAAATATAAAAACATCGAAACTAAGAAACTTTCACATTTATAATGTAAGTGTGATATATCCTTTCGTTATTATTAGTCTTTATTAAATAAAGACTATATTTATTACTAGCTTTTACCCGCGGCTTCACTCGCGTCACAAAAGGATAAAAAGTAGGTAGCCTATGTGACTATCCATCCGTTCAACTACCTTCAGTTAAAAAATCACGTTAATTGTTACCTCCGTTCTGCCGTTTAAGACAGGCAAACAAACAAATAGCTTTCCGCTCACGTGGAATTTGGTTATATCGCGCTATTTAGATTTTTCCAATAAGTAGGTAATTCATTAACTGGTTTTAAATGACATATAACGCCATCTATACCAGTACATACAGCGCCATCTATACCAATATTTTTGTTTTTCCTAGGAAATATCAATTTTTTCCGGGATAAAAAGTACCCTATTAAGTAATAGGGTAATAGGGTAATAGGGTAATAAATAATCTGGATTAAGTAATCCAGACTTTTAACATGATGTCTGCAAAATTTCAAAGCAATCGGTCTAGTAGTTACGGCGTGAAGGCGGAACAAACAAACAAACAAACAAACTCACTTTCCGATTTATAATATAAGTAAGAAAGTAAGAATAAGTAAGAATAAGGATAAGGATTATTAGTCCATCTGAGTATGATATTATTTGTCTATGATATCTGAGTGTGATATATCCTTTCGTTATTATTAATCTTCATCATCATCAACAGCCTGTTTTCGTCCACTGCTGGACATAAGCCTCTCCAATGGCACGCCACTGAGCTCGATCAGCTCTACGCATCCAACCACTACCAGCCACTTTACGTATATCGTTACTCCACCTAGCTGGATTATTAGTCTTTATAAACTTATAAAATAGATTGTAGTATATACTACAATGTTTGAGTCTCCATAAATAACTCTTGCAGGGTCACTCGTAGCAATTGAAAGAGTAGGGTCCGCCGTGCCAAAATTATTTAATGACTCCTCAAACTTGGAAGAAGTTCAACACTCGATTGTCCTTCAGTCTTTAAAATAAGATTAACTTTTTAAGCTGATTACCCTAACAAACAAGATATATTTAATTATAATATAAGGAGAGGGACCGACAGAGATTTTTAAATGTTTTGTTTATTAACTTTTCAAAATGCCTTATGGTTTCAATAAAAGTAATTGATCTGACTTTGTCTTGGTACAATGTTCAGTTTCTCAGTTTCTCTTAAGCTTTGTTGTAAGAGTGCAAATTACCGAAAGCGTTTTAATAAACACATCACCAAACATTACATCACGCCTTTCGTCCCCGAAGGGGTAGGCAAAGGTGCACATTACGGTACTTAATGCCACTGTACAATGTAACACCCACTTTTCACTATTTATGTTCAATTAAAGTTGCAATTAAACCATAATTTGGTACTTCTGAAACGTCGACAAATACAAAATAAATAATAGTCTGTCAATCAGTCCGTCAGTGAAGCTAGGTGAAGCTAGGTGCTCATTCCAAAGTGTGGATTCGATTAGAGAAGAACGAGCAAGAAACTCCATTCGTTAATCTTTTTAAAAAAGTATGTTCTACAATGTCTCTGATATATATTCCAATGTATATTATACTAGCAGCCCGTCCCGGCTTCGCACGGGGTAGACAATTATTTATTTTTGGAAATTTAGATTGTTGTAGTGACATAACTACAATAGTTGGACATATGCTACCGTGGAGTTTTTTGTAGACATTATGATGTTCTTCAATATTGTTGTACATTACTTTGTTCTATCGCTAATAGTTTCGGCAGCGCATTCGACGAAAGACATTTTAAAACTCATTTTTCTACACCTTCGGTTACATTGTTCAAATTTTATCAAGGATTCCTAATTTTTTTCAAAATGAAATGTAGCCTATGTCAAATTGGAAGAATGTAGCATTCTATTGGTGAAAGAATTTTTTAAATCGGCCCAGTACTTTTTGGGCCTATTCATTACAAACATATAAACATACAAAAATAGGTACAAATCTTTCCTCTTTATAATATTAGTATACCTCTAGATATAGATATATTCCTTGTTTTTTTGAAGTCAGTTTAAAGTGTATCAGTAAGAATTACCAAACACAGCGAGTCCCAAAGAGAACAGTCCCAGACAAACTAATAATAATCCAAAGAGGACAATACAACTCAGAATTACATTCCAACAATTGGAATATTCATGAAGCACTTTAGGACTATTGTCGAAATCCATATTTCATAATATCGTCGCGACAACTTTGAATTGTAAGCGGAACATTTAGGTATTTGGATAATCCCTTTAATCATATCAACTTAATTCCGACAAAGCGTTTCATTCACTGGTATTCGTATTTTGTTTTAATATATTTTTTCGAAACCGGTGTAGGTATATTGTTGTGAATTGTCATTGCGAGCGTTGTCGGTATTCTTTAAATTACTGTTCTCATTAACATTATTGTCCTGAAAGGTAAACAATAGATACATAGGAACAGATTATAATTTTACGAGCTCGAGTTACTAATTATATAGCTTTATATTTGATAAACTTTATAAAATTATGCCTCACGATAGAAACAAATTTAGAAGTGATAACTTAGAAGAATTCAGTAGACACGCAGTAAAAAATAATCCTAATTTAATTTTTACTTCATTATCATGCTAAATAAAATGCAATTCATAAATCCTTATATTTTGGTATACGTACAAACAATTCGTCAGAACAAAAGCTATTTGTTGTTGGATTTTGTAAAGCTGGTTGTACACTGATTTAATACATCATTTATGCCTTTCACAGTGCAAAATTCCGTATTCAATCATAATTATTTATTTAAATAATGACGTCTTGATTTAAATTTCGAATACAATGCTTCAGTCGGAGCTCTGTTTAAAAATCGACGACATAACAACAATTTTTGAATACCGATTCGAAATAGGACTGCCTCGTTGGCCGAGTGGTCGCTAGTGCGACTGCCGGGCAAGGGGTCTCGGGTTCGATTCCCGGGTCGGGCAAAGTATTACAGAGTTTTAAAAAAATCTCAATAGTAGCACAGAGTTTGGAATTGTGCCCGGTATATGGCAGTAGGCTCACCCCTATTACATGGGGCTCATAACATAAATAGTGAAAAGTGGGTGTTACATTGTACAGTGGCATAATTTGCACCTCTGCCTACTCTTCGGGGATAAAAGGCGTGATGTTAGTTATATGTTCTTATACTGAGCAACAGCCTCTTGATACTCAGTGAAAGAAGAATGACGACTATAAATCAGGTAAAGTTCCGTAAACTTAATTAAAAGTAATATAAGAAACAATGAATTTGGCACCTTTCAGAATATTCGAACCTATTCATTTTGTCCATCCTTCGTTTTTTTAAATGTTATTTATAGAAAATTAGTACCTATTGGCAGGAAACCAAATCTTTTTAATGTGTGGGTCTCAAATTATGAGCACGCGTGGGCCGTTCCTGTTCATGTTCATACCAATCAGGCTTTGCCCAATATCGTAACACTGCTTGTTTATAGAGCTGTTACATGAAACCATACTCCATAAATTGCGGTCATTCGAGTATGTAATTAATTGCATAAAGTGTATTCAACTATAAATGTGCTACACAATATAATATAGCACGCCAAATCAATTTGCTAGTTTGGCACATTACGGCACTTTTAATGCCACTGTACAATGAAACACCCACATTTCACTATTTATGTTATGAGTCCTATGTAATAGAGGTTAGCTTATTGTCATATATTGGGTACAATTCCGAACTTCGTGCTACTACTGAAAATGTTTTAAACAACCCAGTATTACTTTTCCCGACACGTGAACCGAATCCAAGAGCCCTTGCTCGAGTCAGAATAGTGATAATCATTGATTAAGTATTGACTCTGGTTTGTCAACTACATAAATAAAGAATCATTATAATAAAGGAATTAAACATTACTATTTATTATTAATATAAACATCGACAGCTTCATCATTTGCTTTAAAACATGACGTGATAAGTGCTGCCTTGTAGGATATTTGCAGAAATAAATTTCTCTTCTGTTTCTTTCTTCCTTCGAACAGCTATGTTTAACCGAATATATTCATAAATTCTGCCAATAAATTACACTTAATGGCACACTTAAATAAGGTTAGAAGTACGCCTATTTATTATTATGTTAAGTAGCAACTCATTGCTAAAGTGTAACTCAAAACAAGATGTTACTTTGTCATATGGTCGTATAAACTGTATTATTACGAGTGTTTTCAAAAGAACCACAAAATGCCTACGTGTGTCGTTCCCATAAAACCTCCACACGTAGGTACATCTACACTCGTAAAGTTCACGGTGCGACGGATGGGACCATTTCCTTTGTTTTCTGCGTTAATTAACATTATTATTTCCTCCGTCGTTTGTCCAATTTGGTCCCAAATTGGAACAATCTCTAAGAAATAAAACCTTTGAGTCTAGTATGGCTGTAAGTAACTGACGTTGTATTATGGTTTCTATTATTTAATTTGGATTTATTATTAAGACGTTGAACTTTCTTACCTTCCTTGTTACTTGTGAATATATACCTACATTAAAATAAGTCGCGGAGAACTAACGGGTTACCGGGGCTCCGGCTCGAAGCGCAGCAGAAGGAACGGGGTGGTTTTTAGTCAGTAAGAGTCTGACACTCCCTC